TGGAAAGCTGCCTGGCCGAAAAGGACCTGGGGGTGTTGGTCAACAGCCGCCTGAACATGAGGCAGCAGTGTGCCCAGGTGGCCAAGAAGGCCAACAGCATCCTGGCTTCTATCAGGAATAGTGTGGCCAGCAGGAGCAGGGAGGTGATTGTCCCCCTGTACTCGGCGCTGGTGATATTCCACTGCACCTGGAATACTGTGTCCAGTTTTGGGCCCCTCAGTACAAGAAGGACATTGAGTTGCTGGAGCATGTGCAGAGAAGGGCAGCAAAGCTGGTGAAGGGTCTAGAGCAGAGGTCTTATGAGGAGCGGCTGAGGGAACTGGGATTGTTTAGCCTAGAGAGGAGGAGGCTGAGGGGAGACCTTATTGCTCTCTACAACTACCTGAAAGGAGGTTGTAGTGAGGTGGATGTTGGTCTCTTCTCCCAAGTAGTTAGCGATAGGATGAGAGGAAATGGGCTCAAGCTGTGCTGGGGGGAGGTTTAGATTGGATGTTAGGAAAAATTTCTTCCCGGAAAGGGTAGTCAAGTATTGGAAGAGGCTGCCCAGAGAGGGAGTGGAGTCACCATCCCTGGAGGTGTTAAAAAAACGGGTAGATGTGGCACTTGGGGACATGGTTTAGTCTAGTCTACCCTTGATTGGTTTAGTGTGGACTTGGTAGTGTAGGTTAATGGTTGGACTGGATGATCTTAAAAGTCTTTTCCAACCTAAACGATTCTATGATTCATTATAATCATAACAATATTATAAGGAAGGAAAAAAGTGGAGATTCTAAACAGCATCTTTCAGAAGTGTCCTGTGGACCTATTGATGATTCAGAAAGGTCCTTCTAATTCTATTTCTGTTCATCTGCTATTACTTATCTGAGATGGCTCTTCCCTGAATCATGGTCTTGCATCATTTCTTCTTGTCTGTCCCCCTGATCTTGTTAATTCTGTATTTAAAATATAGTCCCACTAAAAATTAACATTTGCAGTAAAACACAAATCCAACATGTGCCATTGTATCCCCAAAAACCTTTTAGTGAGGCCTCAGTTCTTGAAAAATACTAAATTAATGCACAAGTAGAAGAACCCTACAAGATCTGATATTGTTGTGTGAAAGGAAGGAATTCAGTTACAAAACAGACAGATCCAGAATTGCTATAAAATGGTGAAGCTTCATTTGTTAGGAAAGCTTCACTTTTTCATACCAAAAGATAATGTAACCAAACATTATGTTTTCCTTCTCTGCAAAATTAAACATGGATTAATTGTGTATTAGCTGATGTTTACCTGATGTTTACCTGAGTTAGTTATTTAGAGTACTGCTCTGGAATCCACACTGTAAATGAACTATCTACACTTCCGGGATTAATCCAGTTTATCTGGAGAACACCCTCCAATTTGTCATAACATGATAAGTGAGTAAATCTCATGTAATCCGGTGAATTTAAATATGCAGACTATTAAAAGAATATGGAGCAATCTGGCAGACACCTGAGAGGAGGACCATCACTTGGCTATGGTTGTCATCTTTTTTGTTGTCTCTTTAGTAAGAAAATGAGGTCATCTCTTGTTTTATTCCTGGATCTGATATGTATGTTGTGTGAATGCATCTTTTTGTTCTCTTTGGATGGCACCTTACAGGGTCCTGGTCCATTTAAAAAAAAAAAAAAAGCTACAGTACAATATGATAGTATAAATAATTTTTTTCAGTTTTTATCAGCCACAAAAAGGGCACAACTGTGCATGTTTTTTCTCTATGCTATATTTATTACTATTATATTTAATAGCTGTGACAATATTTTGAGGCTTTCTGTTTGTATCTTTATTTTTGGGTCTTTTCAGGCTGAGAACTCTAGATGATATGTAAAATATGCCAGTTTAAGTAGACAGTATCATGTCTACTCTTCATGCTTGAATGAGAGAGATGTGTCCTTGTTCTGGTCAAGACGGTTATGTAAAAGGTAGAGATGGGGAGTAAATTTCCAGGGCCTGACTATGTGCTGTCTTCTGGGCAGGGTTGATGTGGAGTGCTACCATTTGGGATGCTAATGCTTCCCGCTCCCCATACCCTCATCCTCTCCTTCTTGAAAGGTAAATATGATGGAACATACTATAGAAGTAAGACCCATGTTTTGTACCAATTCTGACACTAGTCACTGAAAAGATTCCAAAAAAATACAATGCAGTTTAGCTCATGCTGACGTTTCTCTAGCGTTGGCACTTAAAATAGGTTCATCCCTACTTTTTAACTATGTCTTAGGAAAAAAGTAGTGTTCTTCAGACTTTTAAACTGTGGTATGGTCTGTAAAATGTATTGTATTTCCGGTTGTTGCATTACTACTTTGGATGCCTTTTTGGGGAACATATACTATATGAATGGCTGTATTTTGACTGTAGAAAACCAGAGTCTCTCTTTACCTCCAAGTTCAAATTTAAGTTTTGTGATGATGTAAACTGTAAGAACAAGTCTTCAGTAGAATCTGCCCGTGTCTGGGAAGATCTGGCTTTTGTGTTCGCCAAGTTTCAGTTAAGTCCCTTTTACAGTTGTGTGTCTTAATTCTCTAACGTGTGGACTATACCAGTAGGTTCATTCAGAAGGGTTGTGGTAGGAAGTTGTGGTTGGATTTTCTAGCCCTTAAGAAATTTCTCTTTAGAAACCTAGCTGTTCCAATGCCCAACACTGAGCATGGTGCTCTTCAGAAGACCTCCCAGGAGCAGTATTCCTCCTGTAATGAAGAGAGGTATTTACTTCAGATATGACTAGAATCAAAAATAGGGATGGAAGAAGCTGGAAACAAATGAACACAGAACTCACAGCATTTCTAGGTGCATTGTGTTTGGCTCAGTGAAAGGGCTTCAAAATGTCTGGCAATAGCTTTCTGGAAGGGTTTGCTCCTTCTGCAGTGCTGGAAAGGTGGTTTGAATCCCCGTGTGCTCTTGCGCTAACATAGTACCCGTTAGGATGGAGGTGAAGCAGTACTGCAAGTGTGAAAACCTGGAGCTGTGGCAAGCCAAGTTCTGGTTTTGACCTTCTTCATGTTGGCCCATCCTTTAAATAAAGCGTAATAAGGCAGTGTGTTCCCTCTTAATCTAATGCTTGTCAGACCTATCCAAGGCAGTGGGTTGTACTATGTCAGCTGCTAGCGTTGGCTGCCTTCTCCTTAGAGATTCGCAGCAACACTTGGGCATATCAAATGTCATTGCCATGAATGTGACACATTGCGTTCCTGAAAATAAAAATGGAGTCATCCCTACGTGTTTAAAGCATGCTTATCTCTCTGTGTTTATTCTCTCCGTCATGGTACAATAACTGCTGCAAAATTTCCAGTACATTTATCAAGTTACAGATTAGTGCAGGCCCCTGTGGTTCTTGGAACGGCATGGGGCTGTTTTTGTTTACTGATGACATTTATCCTCTCATTTCCTTTTGGAAGCATGACAGCTTCTCGCTGTCTGATGGGGAATGTACTTACAGGACCTTCTTTTCATGCCGTGTCTGATGATAAACACTCCACTGCATAGTATCCATGTCTGCTTGCTATGGAGCCGCTATTACTGCTTTCAGCAGTCATTCTGGCAGGAACTTGGCTGGGCAGGAAAAAAGCGAAAGGGTTTCTAAGTGCAATTATCTTCTCTTGCAGGAGGAGACCGAGAGCGGATGACAGCTAATCATGAGACGTACCTTCTTATGGCGAGCACGCAGAATGACATGGAGGATTGGGTGAAATCCATTCGCAGGGTTATATGGGCACCATTTGGAGGAGGTGAGTCAGTGAGGGAACATGCAAGGCTCTCAGATACACAAAGACACATAAAGGCTCTTCTGTTGTCTCTCAGTCACAGCCAGAGTTTTGAAGTGAAGAGGAGGAGAATGATCTAGATCTTTCAAAAAAAGGGGAGTAAACCCTTTGTTTTCACTTGCAATGCAGGTATCAGGCATGTTCCCATGCAGAAGGCTCAATTAAAAGGCTTTAAACTGTCTGGAACCACTTCCCTTAGTGAGGATAGCACATGATAGTGCATTACCAAGGCAAGGGGAAGTTTTCACAGAAGGTTGGTCTTCTATGAAAATAGCTTTCCCTCAGGGAGGAGCAGAGTAATTTCTTTGGTCACCAGCTTAAAGACTGTCCATGTGTTTCAGAAATGACTGTTGTAAGCAGCTGTCAGTTACTCTCCTGCAAGTGGCAGCTAAGACCAGTAATAGTATTCTATAAAGCTGTGCACTCCAATATAAGCTTCAGAATATTAGCACTTGCAGTATAGGATAGATTATTTTTCTTTTGATTGGTATACCTAATAATTTCAGTAGTAGTGGATCAAAATTTATTGTCGGATGTCTATTTGTCTTTTTAAAATGCGTTCTCATGTTGAATGGGCTGCAAATTATTATCGCTATTTTCATCACTATTATTATTCTGGTGATAATGTGTGTATTATTATAATACAAGTAAGATTGATATACTTGCACAAAATGTCAGTATGTTAATCAGTCTGTTCCTCAAATCTCCAAGTTTGGGGACAGAAATATTTTTCCACTGTGAAGGAGCACCCGTATTGCATCAGATGCTTTTTTGGTCTCGTCTGCAGGTTGCTGGAAAAGTAAGTCACGCAGGATAGTCTGTGCTGTTTCATCACTAAAAACTGTGCTTGCTGACTGCAAGTGTCTTTTTCTCAGCTGCCAGGTAGTCCACAGGAGAGAGGATGGGAGGGACTGAAGGAAACTACCATTTTAAACAAAACTTTTCTTGTAAGCCACCCATCTTCCTTTGTGCTTTATTCAGGTCACACAGTTCTTAGGAGAATGCTTTGGCCTTGCTGGTGGGCTGCACTGAGGCACTTGGTCAGCTGGGCCTGCCTGGCACCTCTTCAAAAATGACTGTCTTCTCTTTGGCTCCTCCTGGGGAAATGTGCCCTGGAAAGACGGTGCTAAGCAGTCATCTCACTGGGATCTGGCCCTATACATTAATAAGCTAGCACAGTCCTGGATCTGGGCATGTAGGTCTTATAGGAGGATGGTTAAAAAACAAAACAAAAGCCGAAACCCCACAAATTGAAAGTTTTGTCTTAAAAGGCGTGATTTTCTATAGGCATTTGAGTTGGTTTGGGAGAGGGGAGGTGTGAGGAGCACAGTCTTCTGCAATTAGGCAAGGTGGGAAATCTTGTTTATAGAGCACGAGGGTTACCCATCCCCAACTTTCTCTTTGTAGAGCAGGCCTTGTGTTGAGCTCCTCAGTGTTCTCTTACTCTAGTCCATTAGCAGCCTAAGCTGCTGTGGCAATAATAAATTTGGGGGCATAGCAGAACTGGATTTTTCAAAGGGTATCTCTGTGGTTTTTGCACTTGGCTTCCAGCACTGCAGTATCTTTCTGTGGCAAATAATGAGGAAAGGCAACCTTGCAGTTCTTCTGCAAGTGGAGGAGTGTCTACATTTTACAGGCAGGGAGCTGAGATTAGGTGAAACTCTGTTTCTAGCCCAAGTCTGTGCACAGAGCTACAAATAGAAAGCAAATCTCCTGAGTCCTGACCCTGTGCTTTCTTCACCAGCCCCTCATTTGCTTTTATAGGGCAAGAGCTATTTCTGGTTTACTGGGAATCCTTTGAGCCACCATGAAAATTCTCAGGACACCATTGTTGTAGGAGTGTTTAATGCCAATTACTGAGGGAAGCACCTCACTGAAGACTTAACATGCTGATTTGCATAAAACAAGAGACAGGTGCAATCCTTAAATTACTGTATAGATTCATTTGTAGTTAAAACACTTCTAAGCATGTTCTTTTTTGTTTTCCTGTTGCATTTCTTGAGCAAATACACTGACTCAGGGTTATTTGCATTGGGAAGCAAACAGTTAATTCCCTGGAAAACATCAGAATAGATAGAACATGATTTTGGGTTTAATGTTCACAGGGAAGGTTTGACCATGATAACAAGGCAAAAGCAGTATCATGGGATATGTCACCAGTAAGAACTGTTTCTAGCATGTCCCCCATTTATTAACTACTTGTTACTTCAGTTGATAGTCTGAGCTATCTTAACAAGTCTTAATAAGCCCTATTAACTGTTCTGTAATTATGTACAGCTGGAGACACTCATATTTTTATTATCCCTTGCTACATGGACGTTGCTACAGTCTGACCCTTGTAAAGAAGGGCACTTCTGGCTTAAGTTGTCTAAGAACCTGCCTTTATGAGTTGTAGCCACTGAAGTTAAAAATCTTTTTATCATTAGCTATAAACAAGATATAGAAAAGTTGCAGTCACATGATGATGAGTAGCCAATAACAAGTAACTACTTACAACACAAAATTACTTCAGACAGCTAATTAATCATACACCAGTTTTATATCAGCTTCCTAAATTTCAATACTAGATGGTAAACCACAATAGGCTGGTGTCATACAAGTCAAGTGCCACTTTGAGTAACATATTTCAATCTTCTGGTTCTTACAAGCATTGTAAGCAAGTGCTGTGTGTGTGTGCACACGTGCAACAGATGTATCTGTGCCTTGGTGAGCCCCTAATATTTAAAGTTTGTCTGGCAGTGGGAAAGGACTCCTGGTACCAGCGCAAGGAGCTCTGTAAATGATTAACCATATAATTAAATTGTTATTTGTTAACCTGTGCTAGAAAGAGAAGGTGGGAGGGGGGCAGGTGGGAATCTGCTAAGGTGATCAGAAACAGCTTGGGTTTTGCACCGAAAGAATAAGGTGACTGTGGAAAAACTTCTGAAAGGGAAAAGAAATGTAAATGAGCCAGGGCATGTAATGCCTGTTTGCACATGAAATTCCTTTCCTGATTAGATTAAAAAGGCAATTTTTTACAGGAGGGAAAGGCCTGAGCTTTAATTGCAGAGTTTGCAAGTGGGGGAGGGAGAAGGCGAGAAGAAGGAGCATGAGCGTTTTAGCAGGGGTAGTAGTGTAAGGTCTGGCACCTCCTGCGGGAGCCAGGAACAGCCTGCTTGCTTTTCAAGCTGCCGCACACGGCCGCCGCCTGAAGTCAACTCAAAGTCACCCGGAGGAGCAGACAAATCTGCGTTGCGGCGGCTCCCTCCTCTACGTCGTTTCCCTGCACCTGCTGCATGCGAGGGGCTGGCTTTCCGTGGCTGCCATTGCCAGGCGTGGGACCAGGAGGGAGCGAGCAAGCAGAGCATCCCCGTGTGGAGGCACGTATTCCTCAGCAGCTCCCCAGGATCCTGCCAGCAAAGATGTGCGGCTGCCGCATCTGACGTGCCTCTCCCATGAGAGCTTCTGGTAGTTCGAAGGCAATAAAACAAGCGAGAAGCCCATGAGAACATCAGACAGGGAGCTGGGCATATAAAAGGTCTTTTGAAAGGAATCTGTTATGGGCAGAGAGCCTTTCGGGCGAAGGGACTGTTGTTTTTGCTTCTCGGCTGCAGAGATAAAGGGATCCAGCAAGGAGTATCGTATCCCAGAGGATTCTTCAGTGGCCTTTTTGGTATTGTTCTTCTCTTTCCCCTTGCGCACCGCGAAGCGCTGACCTTTTCCTGTGGAATTGGAGTCTCTGCCACTCAACCCCCTCTTCCAGCTGGGAGGAAGAGGTCTTTCTCCCCCTCCGTCTGTGCAGGCACTTCTGTTTGAATGGAAGATGTATCTTTTTGCTGAAACTCTTTTGTTGTGACATTGCATAATAGACAGTTGTCTCACTGCAGGAAATAAAAGAAACGAAAGGAAATAGATGGAAGTAAATTGTTCCCCAAAGCAAAATTGAATCGGGGAAGAGAACATTAAAATCACTTCAAGCCCTACCCAAGATCTAGAAGACCACAAATCTCCTAGCTCCAGAGGAAAATACACTATTATAAAAAAACTCTTCAGCAGTCAGTAATGATGAGCAGTCGTGGTGTTCCATCTGGATGCAGCTGGTAAAGAAAAGCTTTGGAGGGACGTGGGGGCTCTGGCCTGGATGATGCCTGAAGACAGAAATGCTGGAGTCCGCAGCCCAGGTGCCTTAGCAGCAGCTCCTTTCATTCCTAAAACTACTTATAGGAGAATTAAACGGTGTTTTAGTTTCCGTAAAGGTAGGTCCGTTCTGTCGCTGTATTCTGCTTTGCTAGCGAAGCCATGGTTTCTGAGAAGTCAGGGGGCTGTGTGTGCAGGGGCAGATGAGAATACCTAAACAAAAGGCATTAAACAATGCAGTGCCAACATTCCACGAATGATTTATTTACTTCTTTGTTCATTTATTTGTAGCTGGCCAGCTGATACTGTCTCCTCTACATAATAGCCCATGAATAGGCTGCCTGAATGATGTGGCTTGCAACAAGATTATTGCAGAGCCTTGGAGCAAAAATCAGTGAGAGCAGTGGGGGAATCAGACCTGTGATGCTCCGAGTTGTCTATTTGTTTGGCAGAACATCAGGGAAAAGAGTTTGGGTTTGCATTTTGTCTGTGTGGGAGGAGGGGGGAGAAGAGAGGGAGCAAAGCACCATGATAAATGCACATCTGTGTAGAAGACTTAAGTCCTTGGATTCAGAGATTTCTGATGGGTTGAAGTGTAGCCCTACAATGCACTGTCCTGTTGCAAGTGCTGCAGTGCCACTTCATCCTGCTGCCCTGCAGCCTGCATTTGCCTTTCCACCTGCTGCATAGAGATGTTTAAAGCCAGTTTTCTTCTGCATTGCACATACTCCTGTTGAAGCAGAGCATGGCAGTACTGGGGGGAGGAAGGCAAAGAGGAGGCTGGCTTTCCAAATCTGTCAGCTGGAAGCACTGGAAGGGAAACACATGTCTGAGAGAGAGATATGACA